CTTCTTTACACTGGGGTGGGGAATGAAGAGATGACAAAAACACTCTAAGATACGCTCATACATTCACCTTTCCTCCTTTATAAAAGAAACCTGCTAGAACATATGCAAACAACCAATAAGTACATGAAAAGATGTTCAACATCATTATTCATAAAGGAAATGCAAATCAAAATCACAATAAGATGCCACTTCACACCCATTAGGATGGTTATTATCAAAAAAGGGAAAGTGTTGGTGAAGATGTAGAGAAATCGGAACCCTCATGCACTGCTGGTAGTAATGTAAAATGGTGCAGCTTCTATGGAAAGGTTTGGTGGTTCCTCAAAATATTAAACATAGAATTACCATAGAATTCAGCCATTCCACTCCTGGGTATGTACCCAAAAGAAGTAAAACCAGAGACTCAAACAGGTACAGCAGTATTATGCACAAAAGCCAAAAGCTTAGAAAAAATCCAAGTGTCCATAAACAAAATATGGTTATGTGTGCAGTATGAATTATATGTTGTTAAAATGAATATTATTTGGTCATAAAAAGGAATGAAATCCTGATACATACTGCAACATGGAGGAAGTTGAAAATGTTATGCTAAGTAAAATAAGACACAAAAGACAAACATTGTATAATTTCACATATATGAAGTACATAGAACAGGCAAGTTTACAGAGACAGAAAACAGAATAGAGATCACCAAGGGCAGGGGGAGCAGACTAGAGAGTGGTGGTTTAATGGATACAGAGTGTCTTCTGGGGGAGATATAAAGGTTCTGGAAAAGCGTGGTGATAACTGCTCAGCAATGTGAAGTGTGTAATGCCACAGCGCTGTACATTTAAACACAGCTCTCTCCTTAGTCCTCTGGCCTTCCACTTAATTGAGGATGCCTTCTGCATTTCCAGTGCAAACCCAAAGTTCTGAGTCGAGCCTCCAGAAGCGTGCTGCATCAGTTCTGGAGGGAGAGACCAAAGACTCTGGAATGCCCAATCATAAAGACGGGAGAGGAAAGAGAATCCTAAATTGAACTACCGCTTGATAGCTTCAAATTGCTTCCTCCTTTATTGTCTCTCTCAGATACATACAATGCTTTGGTAAATTCACTTTTTCCAGTAATTACTGAAGAAAGCAAAGTTAATAGACCAAATTTATAATTACTCTTGTCACTAACCATTTACTTGGATAAATTACTGTTCTTAAATAAGTAGCAGGCAAAGAGTTAAATTAGTATTAAAACAAAACAAAACAAAAATCTAGAAAACACGAGAACATCCAAATGCCAAATGTTGAAAGACAGGACCAAGGTCAACTTTCTCCCTGAGATGGCACTGGAGAGACAGAAAACTTATAAAGCTCTGAGCTTGAAAACAAGAAAAAGTGTATCACTGAACTAGAATGCAGAAGAGATGGGTCCAAGGAGAGAACAAAGAGCAAACTGCCTTCTGAACACTAATTATAGCAGCTCTTCCCAAGGGAGCCCGGACACCCTCCCAAAGAGCAGAGAAATTAAGCAGAGCCCCACCCGGGGGACAGCAGATGCGGTGCTCCATCAATGAGACCAGGCAGGCTTCCCTCCCTCCCAAATACACAAGGTGGCTCCCATTTTCTTCTATAAAGAGGTAAAATTTTTTTTTATTCCAGGGGTTCAGCTATACCACTAGGATATATATGGCATTTGTCTTCTTTCCTTCATCCGTGCAAGGGCCTTAACATCCTGGTCCTTCAACACTGAAAGCATGTCTCTGGGGATCTCAGGGAAGTACCTGCTATTCCTTTTCCTTCAGTGTCTGTCCTCTGCTTCCAGAAGTATTATTAGACAGACTTGGGCATATCCTTGGTTATATGCTTCAGGTCTCCTAAACATGTTTCTGGGATAAATATCAGAAGTACCCAAGAAGCTTTAAAAAGTCACTGTTGCCAGTGGACCCACTTTCAGAGAGTCTGGATGTAACTGGTCTGTGGTCAGGACACCCATGTTTTTAGAAAGCATCTCAGATTATTCTAGTGTGCAGAGAGGGTTGAGAAACATTGGTCTTTTCTCTGAGATTCCATCTTTGTCCTTCTGCTCTATACCTTAAAAGATATCTTTTGATGAAATTTATAGATCACCTTTTGTTTGTCAGCCATGTCCACTGTGTCACTTAATTTGTTCAAAAAAATTTTTTAAATGATGTTTATTTCTATATACTCTTTATTATCTGATTGCTCATTTTTTCTTAGCATGTCCTTACTTTATGGATGCAATTACCTCCCAAATGTTTCTGAAGATTCTTAGAATAAAATGGGACACCTTCCATGAATATATATGTGGCTAAAAAGTTTTTAAGGAAAAAAAATGTGGATTTTATGTATCCCCTAGCAACTCCCAAAGGCACTAGGCAGCAGTGAAGATTCAGAAGTTAAACAGAAAGGAGAGAAAGGCAGCATACATGAATGTAAAGTAGAAGGGTATGTATAAGATGCAAAAGTGACAGGTGAGAATTTTGATACTCATATTATGCTTACAAAGGGAAACAGTAAAATGCTTTGGTTAAAAGGGGACTGAAGAGTGAAGGCTTAAGAATAAGAAAGAACTAGACAAGCTTAAATACACAGGGGAAAAAGTCACAGGGAAATGAAAAAGTAATGATTTGAGAGTAAGAACACAAGCATAGATTTGTTCATCAATTAAACATTCATAGATTGCTTAACTTATAGCAAGAGTGAATGCTGACATTCTAGGAATCAGCAAACTAAAATGGACTGGAATGGGTGAATTTAACTCATGACCATTTTATCTACTACTGTGGGCAGGAATCCCTTAGAAGAAATGGAGTAGGCATCATAGTCAACAAGAGAGTCCGAAATGCAGTACTTGGATGCAATCTCAAAAATGACAGAATGATTTCTGTTCGTTTCCAAGGCAAACCATTCAATATCACGGTACTCCAAGCCTGTGCCCCAACCAGTAACGCTGAAGAAGTAGAAGTTGAATGGTTCTATGAAGACCTACAAGACCTTTTAGAACTAACACCCAAAAAGATGTCCTTTTCATTATAGGGGACTGGAATGCAAAAGTAGGAAGTCAAGAAACACCTGGAGTAACAGGCAAATTTGGCCTGGGAGTACAGAATGAGGCAGGGCAAAGGCTAATAGAGTTTTGCCAAGAGAACGCACTGGTCATAGGAAACACCCTCTTCCAACAACACAAAAGAAGACTCTACACATGGACATCACCAGATGGTCAACACCGAAATCAGATTGATTATAGTCTTTGCAGCCAAAGATGGAGAAGCTCTATACAGTCAGCAAAAACAAGACCGGGAGCTGACTGTGGCTCAGATCATGAATCCTTATTGCCAAATTCAGACTTAAACTAAAGAAAGTAGGGATAACCACTAGACCATTCAGGTATGACCTAAATCAAATCCCTTATGAATATACAGTGGAAGTGAGAAATAAATTTAAGGGACTAGATCTGATAGACAGAGAGCCTGATGAAGTATGGACGGAGGTTCGTGACATTGTACAGGAGACAGGGATCAATACCATCCCCATGGAAAAGAAATGCAAAAAGGCAAAACAGTTGACTGAGGAGGACTTACAAACAGCTGTGAAATGAAGAGAAGCAAAAAGAAAAGGAGAAAAGGAAAGATACTCCCATTTGAATGCAGAGTTCCAAATAGCCAGGAGAGATAAGAAAGCCTTCCTCAGTGATCAATGCAAAGAAATAGAGGAAAACAACAGAATGGGAAAGACGAGAGATCTCTTCAAGAAAATTAGAGATACCAAGGGAACATTTCATGCAAAAATGGGCTCAGTAAAGGACAGAAATGGTATGGACCTAACAGAAGCAGAAGATGTCAAGAAGAGGTGGCAAGACTACACAGAAGAACTGTACAAAAAAGATCTTCACGACCCAGATAATCACAATGGTATGATCACTCACCTAGAGCCAGACATTCTGGAATGCGAAGTCAAGTGGGCCTTAGAAAGCATCACTATGAACAAAACTAGTGGAGGTGATCAATTTCAGTTGACTATTTCAAATCCTGAAAGATGCTGCTGTGAAAGTGCTGCACTCAGTATACCAGCAAATCTGGAAAACTCAGCAGTGGCCACAGGACTGGAAAAGGTCAGTTTTCATTCCAATCCCAAAGAATGCTCAAACTACCACACAATAGCACTCATCTCACACACTAGTAAAGTAATGCTCAAAATTCTCCAAGCCAGGTTTCAGCAATATGTGAACCGAGAACTTCCAGATGTTCAAGCTGGATTTAGAAAAGGCAGAGGAACCAGAGATCAAATTGCCAAGATCCGCTGGATCATCGAAAAAGCAAGAGAGTTCCAGAAAAACATCTATTTCTGCTTCATTGACTACGCCAAAGCCTTCAACTGTGTGGATCACAATAAACTGTGGAAAATTCTGAAAGAGATGGGCATACCAGACCACCTGACCTGCCTCTTGAGAAGCCTATATGCAGGTCAGGAAGCAACAGTTAGAATTGGACATGGAACAATAGACTGGTTCCAAATAGGAAAAGTAGTACATCAAGGCTGTATATTGTCACCCTGCTTATTTAACTTATATGCAGAGTACATCATGAGAAACACTGGGCTGGAAGAAGCACGCTGGAATCAAGATTGCCTGGAGAAATATTAATAACCTCAGATATGCAGATGACACCACCCTTGTGGCAGAAAGTGAAGAGGAACTAAAAAGCCTCTTGATGAAAGTGAAAGAGGAGAGTGAAAAAGTTGGCTTAAAGCTCAACATTCAGAAAACTAAGATCATGGCATCTGGTCCCATCACCTCATGGGAAATAGATGGGGAGACAGCAGAAACAGTGTCAGACTTTATTTTTTGGGCTCCAAAATCACTGCAGATGGTGACTGCAGCCATGAAATTAAAAGACACTTACTCCTTGGAAGGAAAGTTATGACCAACCTAGATAGCATATTAAAAAGTAAAGACATTACTTTGCCAACAAATGTCAGTCTGGTCAAGTCTATGGTTTTTCCAGTGGTCATGTATGGATGTGAGAGTTGAACTGTGAAGAAAGCTGAGTGCCGAAAAATGGATGCTTTTGAACTGTGGTGTTGGAGAAGACTCTTGAGAGTCCCTTGGACTGCAAGGAGATCAACCAGTCCATCCTGAAGGAGATCAGTCCTGGGTGTTCATTGGAAGGACTGATGCTGAAGCTGAAACTCCAATACTTTGGCCACCTGATGCGAAGAGTTGACTCATTGGAAAAGACCCTGATGCTGGGAGGGATTGGGGGCAGGAGGAGAAGGGGATGACAGAGGATGAGATGGCTGGATGGCATCACCGACTCGATGGGCATGAGTTTGAGTAAACTCCGGGAGTTGATGATGGACAGGGAGGCCTGGCGTGCTGTGATTCATGGGGTTGTAAAGAGTTGGACACAACTGAGCAACTGAACTGAACTAACTTACAGCTAAATTAATATGGCTAAATAAAAGTAAGGTTTTCCTCAAGACGAATGTTTAAATGAAAATTGACAAATTCATAGCATAAGAATATTATGTAGTCTTTGAAAAGGATGAGATAAATCTAAAGAGAATATTGAGCTAAGAGTCTAAACATCAAAAACATCAAAACAAATGAATTGAGAAAGGATTCTGTAGATGTTCATCCATTAAAAAAGAATACCACTGTAATAAATGAAATGTGTTGTTACAATGCATAGTGCCCAATGATTTGGTTCTCTGGTGTGTAAACAAAACCAAAGTCACTTGATGATGTCACAAAGTAACAATATATGTGGTACAGACAATGTGGTATATACCACAATTACTTGCAGTAACCAACTATGGTTCCCAGTATAGATCTGGTGTGTACAATCATTTCAGAGCACTGGATTACAATTATGCAAATATTACATATTACATGCCAAAATGTCTCTTTCATCATTGTTCTTTCCTCGAGTTAAGACAACTAAATTCTAAAAATATTCATAGGAAACAGGTGAGGTCTTAGCTATTCTAGATAAAGTGAAAGTCACTCTGTCATGTCCGACTCTTTGCAACCACATGGATAATATAGTCCATGGAATTCTCCAGGCCAGAATACTGGAGTGGGTAGCCTTTCCCTCTTCCAGGGATCTTCCCAACCCAGGGACTGAACCCAGGTCTCCTGCACTGCATGCGGATTCTTTAACAGCTGAGCCACAAAGGAAGTCCTTATTCTAGATAAGCAATCTTCTAATAATGACATGAAAGTTGGAACAATGTCCAACATGTACTATGAAGTGAATGGGAAGCTGCAGAACAATTAGTATGATCCTATTTTTTTTTTTTTGATCCTATTTTTAGGAAGAAAATGGTATACATTTACTAATATATACAAGAAATGTATATTTAACCACTGGTAAGACAGTGTTACCTCTGGAAAATGAAATTTAGGAGGGTAAAAAGGAATTTTCACTTGTAAAATTTTTTATCATTTAAGTATTAACACTAAGTATCATTTAAGTATTTCTTTCATAATTTTTTTTTTGGACAAGTTTTTTTCAAAAAAGATGAAATGATGACAATACTTCATTGCACTCATCAGGATTTTTTATTCTTTCTGTTCAATTTAATTCAAACATGGTGGAGTGCCTCCTATGTAGAGGAAGCAAACTCTGGTTGAGTGAGAGGTGCTTGTAAGAGATCCAGAAGGCAGTCGGGAGATGAAGCCTGCACTCAGGAGAGCTCTGGGCGACAGTATACATTTGGGAGTTATCAGATTCTACAAGGTAATTAAGATAAAAGTATAGGGATGTCCCTAATTGATAGTCCAGTGGCTAAGACTCAGTGCTCCCAAGGCAGGGGGGCCTTGGTTTGATCTCGTCAGGGAACTAGATCCTGCAAGTCGCAGCTAAAGATCTTGCATGCCTCAGTAAAGATCAGAGCTGCAACTAAGACCCTGGTCACAGCCAAATAAATAAAAATAAATATTTTAAAAAAAGATAAAAGTACAGTTGCAATTGCTTCCAGGAAAACGAAACTGGCTTTCAAACTTTTAATGTCCCAACCTCACTTCTGATTACTATGTCCTGTGGCAGTACAGATGAAATAATTTCCATGGAACTTACACACTGCTAAGGGTAAATACAGGAGTGAGACTCTCTTCATGTTTTGATAGAAAAATTAAATTTCTCCCTGTGCCACAGTGGTATATTATTAACTTGAGTTGACTCATTAGGATCAAACAGTCGGATTCCAAGTCTGCTGATGATTTCTAAGAACAGGACAACAAGATAACGTGTGGCAAAAGGTCTGCAACATCATATAGGCAGAGTGTGTCCTATTCATTTTTGAACCCCCACCACCTAGTGTAAATGGACATACAAGAGGCACTAGATAAACTCAAATGAACTGTGATATTCAAAAGCAATCAATGTAAACATAATAAAACAGTAGACAGTATAAGGCATCAGCACTGAAATTTAATTATCAGTGGACTATATTCCTTCTCTAGGTCTACTCTGAAAAATCTAACCTGGAGAATGACACCATACCTAAGACAGGACCTTCCAAACTGACAAGTTAACCTAAGTGAATCCTGTCAGCTAGATAAAGATTTGTCTATCTTTCTAAGTAAACACCCTCTTTGGAATGATTCATATATTCCATGTTTCCAGAACAGATTTCTAATTAGAGGGCATGTATACGGTAGAGTACTGCCCTGTGCCTAAATTTAACCTCAAACCTGTTGCAACTAAGCTACGGGATCTTTGGTTCTTGTTCAGTTTTCCATTTCTCTATCTGTAAATTTTGGGGGGGGGGGTGCGTTAGACGAGAATGATATATCTAAGGTTTATTCCAACTGTTAATTTTTTACAAAATTCCTTTATTTTTGGTTGCGCTGAGCATTCAATCCGGCACACAGGCCTTTTCGAGTTGGAGCAAGGGGGGCCCTCTTCGCTGTGGTGACCTCTCTGGTTGCAGAGCACAGGCTCCAGGGCACCTGGGCTCAGCAGTTGCAGCACATGGGCTGAGCTGCTCCAGGGTGTGTGTGATCACCCCGGACCAGAAATCAAACCCATGTCCCCTGCCTTGGCAGGCGGATTCCTATCCAATGCGCCACCAAGGAAGTTCCCCAACTGTAATGTTTTATATCTAGGATTAATTTTTAATGAATAAGTGCATGTTTTACCTTATAGGAAAATGAGGTTTGATATGTGGAATGGAAAACAATTCCCAAGGAGTGGAAAGTTATTCTGTTATCACAGAGTTCACTTTCTACTGCAACCTTCTGGTAAAACTTTATTAATTCTGAGGGTTATCCTCTTAGATATTTTCTACAGCTGCCACAACAGTCACCAATGTAATGGCTTAAACAATATGCACTTATTATCTTACAATTATGGAGCACAGAAGATAGAAATGGGTCTCACTGGGCTAAAATCAAGGTGCTAGCATGGCTGCATTCCTCCTGGATGCTCTAGGAAAGAGTCTCCTGCTTTTTCCAGACTCTAGAGGCTGCCCATCAGCTCAGTTCAGTCACTCAGTCGTGTCCAACTCTTTGCAACCCCCATGGACTGCAGCACACCAGGCTTCCCTGTCCATCATCAACTCCCAGAGCTTGCTCAATCTCATGCCCATTGAGTCAGTGATGCCATCCAACCATCTCATCGTCTGTCATCCCCTTCTCCTCCCTCCTTCAATCTTTCCCAGCAGCAGGGTCTTTTCCAGTGAGTCAGTTCTTCACATCAAGTGGCCAAAGAATTGGAGCTTCAGCATCAGTCCTTCCAATCAATATTCAGGACTGATTTCCTTTAGGAGTGACTGGTTTAATCTCCCTGCAGTCCGAGGGACTCTCAGGAGTCTTCTCCAGCACCATAGTTCAAAAGCATCAAATCTTCGGCACTCAGTTTTCTTTACAGTCCAAGTCTCACATCCATACATGACTAGTGGAAAAACCATAGCTTTGACTGGATGGACCTTTGTCAGCAAAGTAATGTCTCTGCTTTTCAATATGCTGTCTAGTTTGGTCACAGCTTTTCTTCCAAGCAGCAAGCGTCTTTCAATTTAATGGCTGCAGTGATTTAATTTAATCTGCAGTGATTCTGGAGCCCAAGAAAATAAAGTCTGTCACTATTTCCACTGTCTCTCCATCTAGCTGACATGGAGTGATGGGGACAGATGCCATGATCTTAGTTTTTTGAATGTTGAGTTTGAAGCCAGCTTTTTCACTCTTCTTTCACTTTCATCAAGAGTCTCTTTAGTTCTTCTTCACTTTCTGCCATAAGGGCAGTGTCATCTGCATATCTGAGGTTATTGATATTTTTCCTGGCAATCTTGATTCCAGCTGTGCTTCATCCAGCCTGGCAATTCTTATGATGTACTCTGCATATAAGTTATATAAGCAGGCTTATGGCCCACTTCCTTCATTTCCAAAGCCAGCAACATCGTTTTCTCTCTGATCATCCTGCTACAGTCACCATCTCCCTTTGGCCACAGATGGGGAAGTTTCTCTGCTTTCTTAAGAATCATTATGCTTAAGAATGATTATGCTGGGCTCACCTGGATAATCCAGGAAAATTTCCCCACCTCAAACTTTTAACCTTGATCATATCTACAAAGTCCCTTCTACTCTGTAAGGTAATATATTAATAAATTTCGGGAGTTAGGATGTGGGCATCTTTGGAGGGGTCTTTACTCTTCTATCTACCTTAGGTGCCTAGCCATCCAAACAAGAATGTAAGAATGTCTCCCAAGCCTAGAATTCTGTTGACTTCCATCATCTTACACTCAGCATACTTTCAACATTCCTTCGTCTCATTTATCATCCAGTTGGATTACAATGTTCTAATCTGATAACACAGTTAAATCTAACATTTGATACATCATTATTATAAAAAATTCTTCAGAATTTCAGAAAGCCCAAATTGGAACATTTATTCAGTTTCTCAATTTTGTAATAAGTTAAAAATAAGCAAACTTGATAAATATAGTGCATGTTTTCTCACCTCAAATTTAATCACTGAAAAATTAGTTTAAAAACTTGAGTCCCTTATCTGATTCTGAAATTCAAGCAGCTTGCTATCACCAAATGTTGAACACACAAAATTTTTTTAACAGAGTTGACAATAAACTGCATATATTTAAAGAATACACAGTTTTTAAGTTTTGACATACACATATGTATTCATAAAGCCATCACTGCAATCAACATAATGGATACATTTGTCAGCCACAAATTTTCTTTGTATCTCTTTATGATTCTCTTCTCTTTGGCTCACATCAGAGCAATCTCTGATTTGCTTTCTGAATAGTTTCTATTTTATAGAATTTCATATAAACAGAATGTCTTTTTTCCCCCTGAATTCTTTCT